TTTCAGTGGATGAAAGACATGTGGCGCTCGGATCCCTGCTACGCAGACTACGGAGTGGATGGGACCTCCTGTTCCTTTTTTATTTACCTCAGTGAGGTGAGTCTTTCTGAGGATGCGCACCTCTGCATGGGGCTCTTCCGTCACTGGGCCTGGAGTTGGAAAAGCTGAGAAAGATCAGAAGGACCTGTGTTTGCCTCCATTATCCTCCCCACTCCCTCATGAACATCTTTGTTCTCTTAAAGGTAGAACAGCCTAGATTAGCTGTTGGCTTTGTTTGTTTCAGCTTTCCTATTCCAGTAAAATACACAGAATGTCGCTCTGTTTATTTTGTTCTCCTTTGTCCTTTTTTTTTTTTTGACATTTATTTAGTTTCTCTGTGCTCACACTTGTGTGCCATGGCACAAGTTGGGGACAAAGAACAACTTACGGGGTTCTCTTTTTCCCCATGTGGGTCCTAAGGACTCAGTCATTAGGCTTGGTGGCAGGCAACTTTACCCCAAGCCGTCTTGCCAGCCTGGCCTTTGGGCACAATCATCAGACATCTTTAGATGCACCAAGTAGTGGACCCAGACTGAGAAAGCAGACCTTCAAACCCAGTAAGTTGTTTTTACAAGATATTTGTTACAAAGAAAAGTAGTTAATGCACTTACCTTCTTCATTCTATCAAAGTCACAGCCCTCCCGTCCTTCAGCACAGGCCTTTGCTCCCAAGGCCATGAAGATGCTGGGCGTGTGGGCCTACCAGCGCGGCACGCTATAGACCTTTTCAACAACCCCCAGACATCAGGGGAGCCCCAGTACTAATGATACTAAAATGCCTTCTAGAAATTAGAAGCACAATCTAGCTGGGCTGTTCCTTGTGAGTTCTGTGATAGTGATTTTGCAGCATTTGTTTGAGCCTGTTTCTGATTCCTTGGCTTTGCAGCCTTTTTCTTTCCTCCTGCGAGGAGAGTGAGGCTGTGGGTAACCTTCGCCCTAGTGAGAGCTCAATCAGAAGCACCTCTCCTGCCCCAAGAGAAAGACTCTTCAGGTTCATTTTGAAAAGTTTCCTTTGCAAATCCCCTTCCTGGGATGGAAGAAGCCGGAGTTCAGACGTGGGCCATGATTGACAAGCATGGCTCATTTCCGGTTTGCACGCTGGGGAGGGCTGAGGATATGAACGATGTCAGATTCTACTTGGGTTTCCCAGCCTCTTCTCCAGCTCCTGGCGGGGGGGGTGGGGAGGTAGTACAGTGAACTAAAAGACACAGGAATGAATGGCTCGCGATAGGTTCCTTCCCTTTCAAACTGCTACCCTAACAGCACTCCCAGTGGAGGAAGGATAAATCCCTTAGAGGAAAGTAGTGATCTGGGGAGGAGGTTCCAAGGGGCAAGCCGCCACACTGGTCTGTACAGAGACCTTGCTCTCATAGGCCTGTACTTATTCTCTTCCTGAGGCGTGTGCAGACATCAGCAGCCTAAAACGTAAGATCGGTCTCTTTCTTCCTTTCTAGCTGATTCAGTTCGGTGAGTGCATCCGACCTCCATGGTAGTCACTGTCTCATCAGGAGCGGCGAGAGCTCATTTTCTTGTCACTGTGCCAGGCATTCTTTATCTTAAGAGTTTAATGGGAAGAAGAAAAGAGAGAGTCAGATGGAGAGGAAGAGAGGAGGGGTGTAATTAGCCACAGAGGAGAAGATACAGCTCCTCTCCAGGGACGGCTGGGAGCCTTGTGGTAGTTAACGCTGATGGTCAGCTGGACGGGCTCTAGGGTCACCTAGGAGAGGAGCCACTGGATGAGTCTGTAGGGAGGTTTGTTGAATGGACTGAGGAGGGAAGAGCTAACTTAGATGTGGTCCCGAGGGCTGGTGTCCCAGACCGAGTAAACAGAAGAAAGCACACTGGGCACCATCGTTCATGTCTCTCTGCTTCCTGGCTGTTGGTGCCACGTCACATCGACCTCTGTGTGTTCTCCACCGTGGTGCACTGTGTCCCCAGACGTTGAGCCAAAAGCAACCCTCCCTCTCTTGAAGTTGCTTTTGTCAGTGAGCAAAGCAAAGGATGTGTACTCTTTGTCACAATCAGCCTCTTGCTAGGGCCCGTTCTATTGTTCCACATGCCTAGTGACAGCCGCAGGAGGGATGGCCATTCCCGAAAGGTCACTACCCAGGAACATCAATCACGCTAGCTCTTCAGCCACTTCTTAATATCTGTGACACAGCCTAAACTTGTTTCCTCAAGTCCTTGCATCTGGACTTTTGTTTGTGTTTCAAGACCTCTACTTACCATCGGGGTGGAATGGGAATGCCCAGGTTTATATCAGAATGTCCTTAGAGAGAGCCTAGCAGGCAGAAGACAGTCAGTAAACATAAGTGATGTGTTTATGCGTTCTGATGTTATTTTTATTTGAGGACATTCTGGATGGGCTTGCTGTTGTGTTTTAGGGTTAGAATCAAATCGCCAGTCTAATTTGGTTTATGATAAATCATCTGGTATGACTTCTAGTCATGTAAACACTGAATTCTGCCCTTGGTACCTGGTTGGTTGGTTGGTTTTTGTTTTGTTTTGCTTGGGGAGCAGTGTGCATTTGAAGGCCGTGTGTCTTCCTCTGTGGCCATCTACCTTACTTTTTAGGCAGGGTCTCACTAAATCTGCAACTCAACAATTAGGCTAGACTTTCTGGTCAGTGAGCCAACCCCAGGCATCCTCCCGTTTCTGTCTCCTCAGCACTGAGATTACAGGTGTGTACCACTACTTCCAGGTTTTTGTTTGTTGTTGTTGTTGTTTTTAATGTGCTGTGGATTAGAACTCATCTCCACAACCTTATGTGGCAAACACGTTACCAACTGAACCATCTCCCCAGCCCTGTGTCTTCCTTTCTAACCGATAAGGATTATATATGTGTGTGGTGTGTAATGCGGTACTTAGAGAAGCATGTGAGTTGCATGGAGGCTGCCTGTTGGGTTTTTGTCCACCCGGCTTGCTTAGATTCAAAATAACCACACAGAAACTGTTTTCATTAAATCACTGCTTGACCCATTAGCTCTAGCTTCTTATTGGCTAACTCTTACATCTTAATTTAATCCATTTCTATTTATCTGTGTATCGCCACGTGGCAGTGGCTTACTGGGTAAAACTCTCAGCATCTGTCTCAGGTGGACCCATGGTGTCTCTGACTCTGCCCTTCTTCATCCCAGCACGCCGTTTAGTTTTCCCCGCCTACGCAAGCTCTGCCCTATCAACAGGCCAAGGCGGTTTCTTTATTCATTAACCAATGAAAGTAACACATAGACAGAAGGACCTCCCACACCACATGTGCATTGTGGAATGTCCGAGGAAAGTTAAGAAATACATATTACCTTATGTTCTTTGCATGTGTGTAACAGACACACTTGTTCTTGACTGCTGGTCTCCCAGTGGGATGCTGGTTTGCATTTGTGTTGAGTTGGTACACAAAGCCAGTTGTGAGGAATTAATTGAGACAGTTCTCAAAGCCAGTTTCTTAACCTTGTGGCAATATTAAAATCTGGGACAAGGGTCTGGAGAGATGGCTTAGCAGTTACAAATGCTTGCTGCTCTTGGAGAGGACCTGAGTTTGGTTGCCAGCACCCATAATGGTAGCCTTTAACTCTAGCATCAGAGCATCCCATACCTTTTGTCCTCTGTGGGTACCTGCATATAGATCTCTCTCTCTCTCTCTCTCTCTCTCTCTCTCTCTCTCTCTCCCTCTCCCCCCCCTTTCTCTCTTACACACATGCACACACACACACAAAGAAAAAATAAAATGGGGGGAAACAATGCAGCTATGTGGGCCTGTTTGTTAGTCTCGATTTTTTTGCTCATCCTTTCTGGCTGTCTTATAACTTTCTATTTTGTTGAACTCTGACACCTGTTACTTCGATATCACACACCAGGTTTCTCTTGCAGTTGGCAAAATGAGAAAAGCATCTTTGTTTGACTTGTTCTGTAAACTCAATCAACACATATGTGGGCGATGTCGATTGCATTTCCAGTCTTTATTGAAAGAGTTGAACTCATTTCTGGGTTTGGTATTAGAACAGAGGCAGATACCAAGAAGACCTAAAGTAAATGTCACTTGGCATGGATGGAAATCTTTAGGTTCAGGAAGTGCCTCTCTTTATTCCCCTCCACCATCAATATAGTACGCCCTCTTGAGCTGAGTGATGGAACTGCAGCCTTCGCTCTAACCCACTTGCTCCTCTGAAGCACCTGACAGTTTACTGTGCTTATACATATGATACGTTTACATACTAATCCCATCTTCCCTCCACTTCAATCCACACCCCCTACACACAACCATTCCACCTTCATGTCCTCTCCTTTTGCTTTATTTAGTATTTAGTAACCCACCGAAGCTAATTGGTGCTGCCTGCTGGAGCGCTGAATGACTTGACCTTGGGCAGGACTTGTCCAGGGAACCATAGCTGCAGTGAGCTCCTGAGAACAGCAGCCATGTCATACAGACACATGTCATACATGTGTTTCACAGCTCTCCTCCCTGTCCACTGACTCTGACGGGCTCTCCATCCCTCCTGGTCTCCCCCAATGTCCGCTGAGCCCTCATTAGATGATGTCCGTCATTAGAGGGAGGGCTTCCTATAGATGTCGACTTAGGGATGGGAGCACTCCATAACCACTACGCCTAACACTTTGGCCAGTTCAGAGTCTGCATGGCTACACACCCAGAAAAGACACTTCTCTGACCAAATATGAGATGTAGTAGAAATGTAATTATTTAGAAGGCAGTGTGATATGTCCATTTATCAAGATAATAGTGGTAGTTGCCTCCAGACCTATGTCCTCCTGGGTCCTTAACCACCTTGTCATCTACAAATTCTTTTTAAATCAATCCCCAAAAGTACTGCCTTCTCTATGTGCTCCTATAGCTACTCTCTGCTGCTTGTTACCTGACTGACACCGCGCTGGTGACAGCCATGCCTCAACAACAGTCCAGGACTCCCCTCTTTAGGGACGGGCTTGTGAGACAGCCAGAACATTCCTGGAGTTGTTAGGGTCAAGCCTGGACCCTGGCAGTCCTGGTAAGCTAGGCTTAGTCACTTGTCTCCAGTATGCCTATTAGGGAGAAGTAGTAGTGAA